GCCACTACCACAAATACTGAGAAAAATAAAAATATCAACTCGTATTATTCGCCTAAATCTCAGGACTACAATTTAGTTAATAAGTCATCATTAGGCGAACGTAGAGAATCTGCTGCTTTAAATTTAACTCAAGAAGACCACTCAGCAATCCTTAAACATTATATTACTCAACAAACGCTCAGTGAAGCATTAGATGGTCTTTACCTTAGACTAAAACAAGATTCTGAAGATATATCGAATATATTACGGTTGGAAATCTCTCAATTGTCCTCAATCTAATACATTACAAACAAATGCAAGAGTGCAATTAAGATTTAAAGGACCACTATAGTGCCAGGAAAACAAACTCTAAAGCTTTTTTCTCAAAGTTTATACCTGTTAAGGCTCTAGGCGACTCTCCATTTGAAAGTTTCCACAGACTCTTTAGGCCTAAAAATATGACATCAGATATCCCAAGAGACATTATCATTTGCTTCTCTAATAATTACATCAAAGGAGGTGGTTTTCACTTCTCAAGAATTGTAGTATGGGTGTATTCTTAACTCATATTTGGATTTATAAGTAAGAAAAACTTAAAATAGTAATATAGGAAGATTTAAATTAGTGGTGTATTGAGGGCATAAATGATATAATAGTGAGTCACGTAGCACTTTTAGAATAATGTGAGTAACAAACCCCACAATTTAGTAAATAGTGTCTACATAATTATTGTTAAATAATCCTATCAAATAATGTAGCCCTATGGAAAGTTGTTTTCTCTTTCTCCTATCCACAGGGATATTTAAGATAGGGGATAACTCCCCCTCTCCCCATAATCCTTATTCCTGCACTTCTGGCAGGATTCATTGAGTGGGAAATGTTTAATTATGTTTCCTCACTGGACTCCTAGAGAAGGACCGTTGCCTTCTTTAGAGTGGATCTTTCGTGTTGTTTGGTCTTTGTTACGTATATTTGTAGATACATTTTTTTTTTTTTTTAAACCATGCCACCAATGGCCAATGGTTAGGAATATTCATGATGGCCTCACTTAGATTGATTTCTTGGAACGTCCAGGGTCTAGATTTGCCACAAAAAGGGGCGCAGTGTACAAATTTCTGATTGAAAATGGTATAGACATTGCTTTTGTTTAGGAAACTCACTGGGTTGATCTCCCAAGTAGACTATGGAAGTTTAAGAAATATCCTGTAGTTTTTTAATGCAAACGTGGAAGGACAAAGATTTAGACAAAGATACGTTGGGTAGATATTTAATACTTATCTAAAAAAATAATGACGTTTTATATACATTTGTTAATATATATGCACCAAATTACAACTCCTGGATGAGATCATAGAGAAAGTGGATGAGCTAACATGTGGTAATGTAGTTTTTTGGGGGGATTTTAACTGTATAGTAGATCCCAGAGTGGATAAAAGTTACAAGAATATTAGAGAACAAAATTTTCAGAAGTCCAAGATGGGGGAGTTATCCGAGTTCCTAAGTAGGAATTCACTATATGATTGTTGGAGGACTTTAAAACCCACCGAGAACAACTACAATTTTTTCTCACAAGTCCACCAGACATATTCTTGCATAGGTTTCTGGTTAAAGCTGAATTTTCGGGAGCAATTATTAACTCGAGTATCGGATCTATAGTTATATCAGATCATGCTATCGATATTAAATTGAAAGGTAACTATAGATCAAGGACTAGATGAAGATTAAACGAAAACCTTTTAAAAAATGAACATAATTTCTTAAATATTAATGATAATGGTGAAGTCTCTACCCCAATGCTGTTGTGCACTTTTAAAAGTTTTGCGAGAGGCCTAGCGATAAAGCTGGGTTCAGAATTAAAATGGAAAGATTAAGGAACTTGAACGTGGACTTATTGGTCTGCAGGACCTGCTCGCAGACGCTCGTGGCAGTGAGCTTCAACACTTGGAAGTCCACTTGAACTGTCCATGTTGCTATCCACGAGTTAGACCATATGGCTATCCATTGCCTGCCTTTACTTTGTTGTACCTTGACGGACTGGTGACCTCCATAGCTTGTTTAATGGCCTACTGTAGCCTAATCTTATGCAATTTCTCTTATAGTGCATAACATGCCTGACACTTAATCTTGCCTACATAGATTGACTAAATGCATCATCCTATTACGCCGCAGTACATAGAGCACGCAATCACATAGCCTATCCGGTCATTTAATTTGTACTGTGTAAACTGCGATGTACCACCTGTTATTCGTTAAGCATTACTCTACCGTATGACTTGTTGTGCCTAGTTAGATTTGTATGATTGATGACATCGTAAACAGGACAGATTACCCAGAAACACACAAGCCAACTGTGCTTTACCTTCTTAACCCATGCCTTAACCTAACCACGTTTGTTCATAGCCCTGACACAATAGCTCAGAATGTTACTAGTTTACTTAATTATTATAAAAAAAGAGGCTGTCATTTCTAGGAGATGTTAAATCATGATATAATATCCCTATCATGTGTTTTTTGATAGTCTCCCATTCTTTATTCTGTACCATTTCATACATATGAAATCAATAAAAGAAAGATTGACAACAGCAACAAAAAAATATTGCTTTTCTCAAAACAAAGGTGGTACCATAACAATAACAAAATAAATAAGGATCTTTCAAACAAAATCAAGAACCACCTTAAAGACAGATCTATTAAAAAAATAGTGATAGGAGATAAACAGTTAAATTCCCTGAAAAGATATTGCGCAAGCATTTGTAGATTTCTAGAAATCATTATATAATCTAAAAGAAGTAGAGAAAAGTAATAAGGAAATGGATGAATTTTTGAATAGTCTTAATTTACAGAAAATAAATCAAGGAAAATTAGACATACTGAATGCTCCATTTCTATTAACCGAAATGATGGATGCGATAGATAATCTTAAATTAAATAAAGCTCCTGGTCCTGATGGTTTCTCTGCTATTTTTTACAAAAAAATTTCTAGGAACGTTTTTCCCAATTAAATACTTTTGGTATCAATTATTCCTATATCAAAAATAGATAACGCTTCATCACTTATCATCAACTACAAGCCTATCTCTCTTATTAATATAGATATGAAAATTTTCTCCCAAATGTCTAATTGTTTTAAGGAGGTCATTAGTGACCTAATAGATGTTGATCAATCGGATTTTGTCAGAGAGAGAAGCACTACAGATAACACACGTAGAATATTCAATCTAATACATAGGATTAATAAGGATAAATTGGGAACTGTCGTTATGGCCCTTGACACCGAGAAGGCCTTCAACAGAGTCAATTGGAGATTCCTTGACTCTGTTATGAGGGGTCTCTGCGTCGTGGGCCAATTTAGAAATAAAACTGCTACGTTATACAAACTCTTAATGAAAAAAAATATAAACCTTTTTTTGAATCTGACACCTTTAAGGAAAAAAAAAAAAAAAAATGGTACTAGACAGGGTTGCCCTTTAGCACCCCTGTTGTATATTCTTACCATTGAGCCATTAGCTAGTATGATTAGACATAATATTAATATAAAGGGGATTAAGACTCAAAGTGGAGAGATTAAAATCTTTTTGCAGACGATGTGCTTCTCACCCTGAAAGATCCTTTAACCTCGATTCCATTGGTCCTAGAAACTATAGATTTCTATAGTAATGTCTCATACTATAAGATTAATATAAAAAAAAAAAAAAAAAAAAAAAATTTTGTCTTCCTTTTTATCCGGGACCCAAGAAGAGCTTTTGGCCTCATGATCTCATTTTTCTTGGAGGAGAAATAGTATTGACTATCTGGGTATTACAATCTCCCTCGATATAGACAACTCGATACGAGTTAACGATGATATTTAATTAAGAAAATTCCAAGTACAATTAGACATCTGGAGAAAGATAGAGGCAGGGCCGTCTTTAAGGAGGGGCAAAAGGGGCAGCTGCCCCGGGCCCAGTTACTCCTGGGGGCCCTAAGGCAGCTGCCCCATGGGCCCCCTGCAGCACCTTAGGTAATCCGGGGCCACAGCCCTTTAATACTGCTCTGGACCGGGCCCTTGTAATATGGTGGTTGGCTGAATACAAACACACAGCTAGCCCCTCACACACTGCCCTGTGATCCCTTTTCTTCTCCGTGGCATGCTGGGAGGCAGTGAGGTCAGATCACTTCCTCCTCAGTGCCGCTGGGGAGGAGGCACACACCACATGGAGGAGGATGCAAGCATTGTGGGGGAGAGGGACTGAGAAAGCTGATGGCAGACTCCCATCAGCCTGGGCCAACAAGCTCTCACTGGACCCCAGGGAAGCCACCTTTCTGTACCCAAAAGGTAAGGAGACAGGAGGGTGGCTAAATATGTTTTGTTTTTTTGTTTTGCTTATTTCTGATATCACTTTTATTCAAGTGTTGGTGTTTGTAATGTAACACCACAGGTGCCTTCTTCTGAGTGACTGTGAATTCTTGGCTCAAGTTCTGTGAGTTTACAGAATACACATGTTTCTTGAAACAATTCTTTAACTCTACATATTAAACTGTATTCTAAAACCTATGATACGTGGTGCAGTGATTGCCTCCAAATCCAAAACAGCCTTTGTTATTAACCTTGTATACATTTAGATCATTTCCATTTAATCATCTCCATTCTTCAATGCACCAAGAGGAATAAGTACATGTTAAAAATCCTAGAAGAACCTGACAGTTCCCCATTAAATATAAATTTTAAAAGTATTTATTTTAACATATTATTGCATCAAGTGTTATCAAAGGCTGTATACCATTTCCAAATGTCACTTTTGCCAAATTCTGGACCAGGGTATGTAAGAACAGAGTTGAGACATTATTATGGCCAAGGTTGCTGGGAGTTGCTGTCCAAGAGCTGCTAGAAGGCAGAGATTAAAATATGTAAATGTATACATATATGTGTGTGTGTGTATCTGGCTGTGTTTGTGTCAGTGTTTGTATCTGGCTGTGTTTGTCTGTGTGTCAGTGTTTCTGTGTGTATGTATACCTGTGTATGTGTACTTGTGTGTCAATGT